AAGAAGTGGAAATCCTTGTAGGGGAGACATATTTAGTGAATTGTGTGAAGGGGCCTCTTCATTCCACACTTGTACTTCTAGGAGACAATGATAACTTCAGTTATATGGAGACAGTATATTGAGAAATCATGGTAAGGTGCAATAATAACCAGGTATCACTGATTATGACATTACAATGTAATTCCCATTCTCCTGCAATAAACCTTCACAGAATGAAAAATAGCCTGCTTGAGCTGGAGGTAGTTCCCTATAGAGTGATAGGTAGCATTGAAAACCATCTTATCATTTCTCTGTCAATGAAATATTGCTCCTAACAACATACATCTTACATATTTGTTCACTCAAACTTAGTATTGTAATTACATAACATACCTTTTTAATTAAGGTAACGATTAAGGCATGCAAGTTCTTCTGAAGCGCCAATGAAATTGTTGCTCTTGTTTTGCACTGTGATTTTGTAACCAGCTAAGGCTGCTGCCCTGATGCAGTAATAGAAACAAAGTAGGAGACAATCTCTGCCCTGGATAGCTTAAATTTTCAAAGGATAAGATAAACAAAGGCATTGATGCTCTTTTCTTTATCCTGTTGTTTTAATTCTGTTCTTGTTTTTCCTGTAATTAATCTATTTCCTCCTGCTTAAATACTTATTATACTCCAAAGAGTTGTCCATGCCAGGATTCAGCCAAACAATTGGAGTCAATTCTTTAATTTCTTGTTGTTAATAAGCTACCATCAAAGAGTGTTTTTATAAAGGAGATCAAGTTGCCTGCATTTAAAAAGCTTCTAAAGAATGTTGGTAATATTAATGATACTCCACAAATAAAATAATGACCTTAACAAGAAATCTCTTGCACTGTGGACTCTAAATCTTGTTCCAAATTATGGGTTATAAAATAAGGAGCAATTAGCAATGAAATAGTAAGCTACAAAGTAATAATCACTTCCCCCCCACAGTAGTATACTTTCTCAGTAGTATAAAGTGAAAAATAAGCAAGTAGTTGAATCACTAAATTTAGTAGACCTATTTCTAATCTCACTTGTACTACTGTAAGTCAGGAGTAACTCCAGTGTGAAGCATTTCATGTTAGGATAAAGGAAGGCAGGATTCATGTAAAAATAGAACTATTTTAAATAAATGCAAATAAGCATTTAATTTTCTCCCTGGCTTTTACATTTCATTTGCAAATGAGTTTCTATATATTAATTAAATTAAGAGCAAGTACTTAAAGAAGAAAAGGTCTTTACATGGCTCTGAGACAGGACCTTCCCTATGAAGACTGGTCCTTATTCCTGCATATGATCATGTGAATAGCTCTTCTTTCAAAATGGACAGAGGACCATAAGGATGGAAACTTGTACACAAACACGAGCACTTAAAATGTGCTACAGGTTCAGAGGCCCTCTGGTAGGGAAGAACTGGCAGCAGAAGGCGGTGAGGCTATCCACATCAAAGCAATTACAATGCACTTGGATGTGGATGTCAAATGCCATCATTTTTTGTGTATACTCTAATTTTCCTTTTGATGCTCACTGCATTTTAAGCAAGAAAGTGAGGAGAAAAAGGAAGTGCAAAGATTTCTCGTGGCTTGATGTGGTAGTGATTTGGATATCCTGCTTGGATTGTTATATAATAGAGAAGCAGGCTTAAGCACCTAAACCAAAAATTAATCTTTAACTCAAAAGTAACCCTTCATAACTGCAGAACATATCAGTGACCTCTGAGATAAAACATCCCTGTTCTGCAGGTGGAAGAGATCCTTCCAGTTCAAGCTCTCATCACCGTCCATAAAGGCAGCTGCAAAACAACAGCACAAAGAGGTAAGGGCTTTCTTTATTAATAATATCTCTACAGCAAAGCCAAACCGATAAACAGGATCTCGCTTTTTTTCTCTAAGGGGTCATCTTGAGCAAGGGCAGGGCTAGTCACTGCCATTCTCTGAAACACCCTTTAAGGCAGCTCATATTGCAACACTTTTTAAGAGCTGATTGCTGGAAACAGCACTGGGTGTTGCAGTGTCACCTGCTAGCAAGTGCCAAATCTTACCTGTGCTTTTCACCAAACATTTTCATTGCTCTTACACCATTTGTTGGATTTGATGCTATTTCTTTAACAATCTGCAAATGCAGTCAGGCTCTGTGATCAGGCATCTATCCCCCTGCATATGTTTGGATCTCTGCAGCTCCTGGTCGTTATGGCTGTATGTGGTCAGGCTGTGCTTGAGAACTGCCACATGAACAGTCCTCCTCTTCCTCCTCCAAGGGTCTCACCTAGTCAGCTGGAAAGGTGACTGAGGGTTGATTGCCTGCTTCCACCCAAGGTAGGCCACTTAGCAATGAATGTTGTTAAAGGAAGTTAAATAATAACCCTGTTATCTTGGTTATCTTCCTTGATGGTGATTGCTCAGAAGAAATGTTCCTTTCAATGGAAGCCACCATGGTTTCTTAAATTAACTCCTACTGCCATACGCATCTTTATCTCCTTTCATGTCAATTGTTCTTTGTTACTTGCAAACTAGGCAGATTCTGACTTTGTTCTTCTCTGTGTTGGTTGCAAAATATTCTATTTTCATTGGCATCCCTCCATGCACACACCTCAAATGCTGCATTGCAGGGAGGAAAGCACATGAAGTATGTGCTTCAGGGGCAGTGAGGAGGGCAGCAAAGCACGTTCAGGAGCTGCTTCTCAGATATTTTTAGCTGATGTTTTATCAAAAAGTCATCCTAGTTAAAGAATCAACTTGGATTTCTTGTTAAATCCCCACCTAAGATTGCTAGGTTTTGTTTTAACAGTACTTAACGAGATGAGAGGAAGGAAGACACAAGATGTTCTCGCTACTAAGGAACGGAGGAAGAGAAACTGCGTGGCTGTCATACAGTATTACTAAAAATAGCCATACTACATTTTTCTATAAAGCAGCAACTGCTCTTTAAAACGAGCACTTGAAATTGAACGTTGAAGCCTTTGTTTGATATAACCCCCCCAGGCTTTATCATCCTTTCAAACAATTTTTTCTCCTCCTTGTAACACTGAGCTATTTTAGCCTTGCCTGAAATCTTTCTACTGTTTTATTAGACTGACTCTCTTTTCTACAGAAGTTTTCCCAGCTGCGATCCAAATGCTTTTGAGCAGCATTGTCTGTGTATTAGTAGTGCATTTACATGAAGTCCCATCTGCTCCTCCTGTCCCTCCCCCAAGTATAGAACAATATAGCCACTTCCTAATTTCTTGTTTGAATTACTGGTATTTGGTCCACTCTGCTAATCTGCAAGACTGCATAAATATCTCCTCAAATTCATCTACACAGCTTTGCCACCTGCTTATTTTTGTTTACTAAAGCAATTATTTTAATTATATACTATAAGCTTTTCTTGAAGTCTGTCTCTGTTTCAAAAATATCACAGAATTATTTCAACTACTCCTAGGACGTTTTCCTTGTTTGAGTGTTGGTTTGCTGGGTTTTTTTCCTTCACAGCATTTTAGTTTCCTCATTTCATTTTCTTAAACAATTAAAAGCTAATGAAACATGACTTGAAGACATATGTCTCTTGTCTGCATTTTTCCAGGTCATTTGCATTTAACGTAGATATAAAGAGGAAGATACCATCAGCACTGCATGTGTCCCCTGTATAAGCAGCCCTTTTGTGATTTTGACCTTCATGTAGCATTACCCTGCGTAATGTAATCTCTCCATCCTAAAAATGCCTCCAAACTGTGGATTGTCTGGTTTGTCTTGTCTGAGTTAACCAGTCATTTCCATAGCAGTGCTTGGCAGCTTCACTGTCCTACAAAACTGGCATTTGGTCTCTTCCAATTACCAGTGTTTCCAGCATCAATAGATGTCAGCAACTGGACACTGGGGATTACACCTAGAGTCACAGGCAATGTGGATGCAACCTTGTTTCTAAAGGAAGGTTGGGAAATGGGGCCTATCCTTCATATAGCCAGGATTTTCAGCCAGGATGAACAATATTTCCCTCCTCTTGGTCATCATGCTTGGGTTTTCTTCCCTGTCAGAGAAACATAATTGAAATTATTAATATTACCATAGCCTAGCACCTTAGCAATGCATTAAAGTTAAGGAATTATGGATGGACCTTCAACTGCACATATTGTTGCCAGTATAGAATTTATTTAGAATCAAAGTATTGGGTTTTGACCTTGGAGTCCATCCTGTTGCACAGCCTTATACAGCAGCTGTTCTGAACTTAGCCCAGCCAAGTATTTAGCCATCCAAATACTACTCTGCTAGCACTGAATCAAGAAATTACGGTAAGAATTTGAGGGGAAAGTGAAGAGAAAACTTCAGGAAGGAAGAACGGTTTTTTAAATCTTCACTTACCTTGTCAAAAACAAGATGATAGTGAGGTTTGCAAATATTTCTTCAGTTATCAAATATTTCAGTATTGACACCATTCTTATTCAACCACAAAACTTATTTGTCATCTGATACTCTCCAGTGTCAGAACTGTTCTCCCTTTATACATGTAAAATATGAAGTGTGCATCAGCCAATCCATTTTTCTCCCTCCTTATGGATATGAAGAAAAAGATGAGTCCTCTGGGCTGTTGGTGTGTGTTGGTGTTTGCGAGTCTTCCCCTGGGGTTGTCTTCCCAGAACATACAATTTGAGATTTGTACATTGAAAACTGATGCAATGAATGAGTCAACATTTCTTTAGAAAAATGCTTCCCCTAATTTTATAAAAAAGCAGGAATTGTAAAGCCTCTCACTCTTTGGTAATTTTTTTTTTTCTTTTTTTTTTTCTTCTTTAAGAAACTTGACTATGACTTGATTGGCGGTTTCATGTCATAAAATAATTCAGGTATATTTGCTCCTTGCTTGAAGAACTTAAATGAGGCTTAAATAGGCTCAGTACTTTGCAATTGTCTATGCTTTCTAGCACTGAAAAGAAGTGCATATTGCAGAATATCTCCACCATGTTGAATTTTATCCTTTCAGACAACGTCCATCTCAGTCCAGTGCTACTCTCTGAGGCAGTAATGTCCTCATCATCCTCTTCAGTGTTGGAGACTGAGATCTTCCAGTACATTGATGTACATCAAAATGATTTCATCAAGGTAAGAACTATATTGAAGTAAAATGACAAATGCAGAACTGGTGCCCCAGAGGCCTGTGCGCTGTGTGCCAGATGAGTGGTTGCCACTAAGGCAATGAGCAGGGTTCCAGGTCTGGCATCAGAAGTGCCACACATGCTTCACAAAGCAAAGCTGAAAGGGGACACTCTGCACTCCCTTTGGGTGAACGAGGTGCATGGACTGCCACAAACCCAATGGTTCTGGGCATCCTTTTGAGTTGTGTGCAGAGAGAGGTTCCACTGAGCCAAAATGCACCTGCACAGGAGAAGCAAGCCAGATAGGGTGCTCTCACTTGATTTACATCGGAACTGCTTTATGTAGGTTTGCTCTTGTAGCAGACTGATGCCTAAATTTTGCCTTAAACGTTTCTTGTCGTTTTTACAACCTCCCAGTGTGGTCAAAAAACAAGACCAGTTTTGGTTCCTAAGTGGAAAACTGATGGAACATTGTAAGAGGGGATCGAATACACAGATGCCTCAACAGATGCCTGGCACCGAATATATGCATGAGATAGACAGGTTCATTCTGTGGAGGCAGGATAGCCTTGTCTCACAGCATATCTTCGAAGGAGACAGGGCAATCACATATGCTAATGAGGATTATGGAAAACAATGGAGTGCCTTGATCCCCTACCTGACACACTGCAGGAAAGTATAAATGTGGGACAGTAGAAGCAAGAGTTGAAGCAAAAGTTGAAGCAAGAGAGAAGAAAGCAGACTGAAGAAGCATATAGACTGAGATGAAGACATCAAGAAGAAAAGTGCAGGAGAAGAAGAAAAGATTACGGCATCCTTGAACCCTTGCAATACAGGAATCCGGACCGGTGATTTCTGTCTTTCTCTCTGTCCTCCCCCTGCCCTCTCCTCCTCTTCCCCCTCCACCCCTTCCTTTCCTTTCTCCTTTCTAACTCAGTAATCCAAGGCCTATCATACTTGCTTAGTTTATACTTAGTTTCTATCTTGTAATCACAAGTGTAATGCTGCCTATTAGAAGTTATGTCTTTTTTCCTTGTTATCATAAAGTAACATGCAGCTTGCTGTAGTTTATTGCACACCTAGTCTTTTCCTGGCTATCATTAAGTCATAGTTTATTATCTGCCCTAATGTGTCTTGTAACTATAACTGATTGTCGTGAGTCTGATCTGTACGTTGGGATAAATTAATAAATGTTTGTGTATGGGCCTTGAGACTTATCTCACCATTGTCCACGCTGTTGGTGTATTACAAATCTAAGAGTCACTTGTGCCCCTCTCCTGAGTGAGACATGAAAGCTCTTGACAGGGAGAGGAGCCTTGGTTCCATGTTGTTTCCCTGTGAAAATGCAGCAACATAATTAGTCCAGTCAGTATCGGTTATGCTTTAAGCCATGAGGATCACTGAGGTAATTTGTACATAGTGCAATTTCTGTAACACAAACTGGTCAGCATCTAGTCTGCCTCCTCTTCCACCGTGTTTTAGATCCATAGCTGGCAGTGTGAACACCTAAGAGTGGACACCCTCTCAGTTTAGAAAAATTAGGACTCTCAACCCTGGAGATCCATCTAAGCAATTTCTCTCAATTCTGTATCCATGACGTTGCTGTGGCAGGATAGAAATAAACCCATCTTCCAGTGTGACACTTCTCATGTTCAAGAGCCAAGAACCTAGGCATCCTGGGTGATTTAACTGCATTTCTTTCCTTCCTGCACAGGGTCTTAAGGAATGGGTGGCTGTGGAAAGCGATTCTGTTCAACCACATCGGAGGAAAGAAGTAATACGAATGATGGCGTTGGCAGCAGACAGACTTGCAATGCTGGGAGCCACTGTTAATTTAGTAAACCTGGGGTCACATCAGGTGCTTGTCTGATTCTTACATTTAAAACATTGTATTTGCACATCTGGTCTACCTATTACAGTTGGTGTTGTGTATGTTTGTTGTGACACACCTATACAGGTGGGGAGAAAAATCTTAATTTATCTGGGTAGGTTAGAGCTGGATTCAAAGTGAGATTTGTGCACCTGGTCAAATCAGAGCCAAGTGATTGTGTAAAAGTATTTTCAATACTGAGGATTCTTTTTTTTTTCATATTTGTAAGCTTTCAAAGGTTTGTTTTTCCTTAGCTGCTTTTTTTTTTATCATTTCTCCTTAGTTGTCTGATGGCCAGGACCTCCCACTGCCTCCTGTGGTTCTCGGGGAACTGGGGAAAGATCCACAAAACCCCACTGTATGTTTCTATGGTCATGTGGATGTGCAGCCTGCCAAAAAGGAAGATGGCTGGAAAACTGACCCTTATACGCTGACTGAAATCAATGGTGCGTACCTGATCATAAGTTTTATATTATTATTTGAATACAGACTGAGATTTTGAGTGGAAGTAGGGTGCCTCTATATTCAACCAAAGCATAAGGCCTTCTCTCTTGCAAATTTTGGGACAAATCCAGCAGCTTTGAGTCTTGATGACTGTGCTGTGACTCGTAAGACCCATCCGTGATTGCCTAATATTTGATGAAGAAGAGCCACAGAAGGTTAATGCTGCTTTATAGCGTATTCAATAGAGAATCTATTTCTGCTTCGAAATTCCTGTTGTGTTGTCGCATCAACCATTAGCCTCCTCCACACTTCCTATTCTTGCTTCTTTATTCTTTTGTACTTCCAGCTGCCACGCTATGGCTAAGGAGCACTTGTGGGGGAAGAATGTAGTGTCTCCCTTAATGTCATCATCCTTACACTACAGCTGGCTAAGCACAAAGAGCTCCATTCACTGAAGGAACAAAAACGACAGATAGGGTGTCAATGGATGCATAAGACCCCAAGAATCCTGAAATTCTGATTCCCAAGCCTGAGCTGTAACCGTCAAGTTGCTCTTTCCCATTGTTTGGAACTGGTTCCAGCCTTACTGGAGTAACTCCTCTGCACCCACAGAAATTTATCGCTGTACATGAAAATAAAATCTGTCCCTGTACAGCTGATCACTTAAAAAAAAAAAAAAAGAAAAAAGAAAAAATTATGTACCTACACTTGTCACTTCACACTTGTACTGTGATATTCAACTATGGAGTTTTTGCTGCTTGTTACCTGGGTGGGCTGACGTGTACAGAAGCTGCATATTGTGCAAACTCCTTAGGCATGCCTGGTGTGAACAAACAGCTCCTAAGAACAAAAGTGAAGCTCAGAAATTGGCGTGTAGCAGAAATCCCAATATGATGTATATAAAAGAAGAGTCCATTGGGAACGACCCATCATGTTATTTAAAATGAGTCAATGAAATTCTTTCGACATTTCACTTGACGCACCACTACAGCTTCTGTGGCAACGTGAATTTTCTGATTACATTGAAGCGACAAGAGAAATTTCAAAGATTGCTTAAAAACTTTTCTCTTTTCTTTTTAAGGAAATCTCTATGGGCGTGGAGCAACAGATAATAAAGGACCTGTCCTGGCTTGGATAAATGCAGTGGAAACCTTTAGAGCCTTGAAATTAGTAGGTCTTAATAAGGACTTCTTCATTATTGTTCTTGTTGTTATCATTACATTGTCATTTCGAGGAGGATGCATTTACATTCCTGCAAGTTAGATGATACATCTCTGTCACAACAGACTACATGGATTTTGAGTTATTACCTTATTTCTAATGCTCTATCCAGGGCAGTGGCGCCACTCCAGTAAGAATCTGTCCTTGACCATTTCTAATTTGAACAGTCTGTATACAATGTAGATATGGTATTGCTGTCATTACTCTGCTGAGGAAAACACAGTGAGAGAAACAGTCAATATGTACTGCATACATTAAACACCTTTGATACCCTATTATCTTGAGAGCTTTTAAAATGGTAGAATAACACACATCATAGATGAAGACTCATCCTAGCTGTTACATTCTGCCAGTCTTTGGTTTTGTTACAGGTTACTTTCAGTTTATGTGTGTATATATATGTAGAGAATAGGTATCTTAAAATGCTTGTATGTAATGGGCTGTTCTTTCAACAATGTACTAGATTTATGAGAGCAAATGCTTTGAATGGATGTGTTAACCAAGTACAAATATACTCACCTGAAGATTGACATATCTCTAGGAGTCAAATAAGAGTCAAGCTTTTGCCAAAATTACTACAATGACCAACACAGTTATCTTCAAGTCAGTCTCCATATTTAATAATTTTGGGGCTACCTTTATCACCAATTCAAAGCTAACCCAACATATAGTCTAAGCCTATAACTTGGTCAGCAAGCATCCTTTAAGGTGAATTTGCATGACACAGTTTGTTAGGTTGCTAAGAAATAGTCTTGCACCTCTTAGGATATTATGGCACAAACTGTGCATTAAGTCTTGGCTTTTAAAATCCTTTTTGCAACCTTCTGGAAAGCTGATGTTTTTCTTGCATCAGCGGTACTGAATTAACCTCAGTATCTCTTAAGTGCTAGTAAACCATATTATTTGCCTACAGATTAGCTGCTGTAAGTGGATATGGTTATGGGTCTGTGTTTCTGCATATTTCCAGTTTTCCAAATCACTAACAGCTATTCTGGCATTTTAACAAACAAGCAAAAAGAAATCTTAGTTGTTTAAAGCCTTTCCCTAGAAAACAGCACAAACTATCAAATAACATTCATGAACAGTTTGTTTCTATATTTTTTTTGGCCGTTCAATGAACCGTTGATGAAGCCATCCATAACACAAGTTCATTTAATGTTACACATTTGTTACTGCACTTAATCTGAGCATTGAATCAAGAGATAAAACATCTTAAAACCTGTAATAAAAAAGAGAATTGGAATGGGAAACTGAGCTTTAATTTACTTTCCCTATGGGACGTGTCAGCATTTCTGACCTGTGCTATTCCATAATAAAAGTTCTCTTCTCATAGTTACCCTCAGAAATGCATCCTTATGAACTAGCAGGCAAATGAACTCATGAGTGCTAAAAGGACAATTATATTAGAATGACCAGCAGCACTTTTACCACCATGTGAGTAACTCTGGTGATCGATAACCTGCTGGGAAAACCACAGCAGTGGACCTCTCCCAGTGGTTCCCACATGGACACTAACAGTGAAAATATGAAAGGCAGGAAATTTTCGGTGAAATGCATCTGTTATTACACAGTTAGAATTTCCAAAGCAATTAGGATATTTAATAACACTGAGAGAAATTCCATTTAATGAGACAGTCCACCAAGTTTTCTGAAAACACAAAGAAGGAAAAAAGATATCATTTATTCTCCTTCAAAATGAAATATGGATAAAAATATGAGGAGAAACAAGGGTTTTTTTCCAAGGAAACTATATATGTCTATTTATCACTGCCATTTCTACTGAAGCAAGGTGTATATCCTACATCCTTCTTTTCCTAATACAACATGTAGTGAAAACCAGTCTGCTTCTGATATTAAAGATTTTTTAATTTTATTTTTTAAATGTTTGTTCCTTACCCGGACTTCTCTAATGTTCATTTAGGCTATGCCAGTGAACTTCAAATTTGTAATTGAAGGCATGGAAGAAGCAGGGTCTTTGGGGCTAGAGAAGTTACTCGAGGAAGAAAACCAGTGCTTTTTCTCTGATGTTGATTATATTGTGATTTCGGACAATCTCTGGCTCAGCAACAAGAAGCCTGCCCTTACATATGGGAGTCGGGGAAATGCGTGCTTCTTTGTGGAGGTAAAGGACACAAGTTCATTTGAACTGGGCCCCTGACCAGACAGCAGTGATATACCTGCCATCACATCTACAGCTGCCCACAGAGAGACTGAGAGCAAGCTTAATACTCACAAATACAGAGCTTTCTTCTATATCCTTTTTGGCTTGTACAGATTTCCCTCCTCATCTCAGTTCAGTTAGCCTTATTTACTTTCATTAACTTCTCTTCAATTGTTTCTCCACTTACCTCTCTCCCTTTTATCCCTTTCCTATCTCATTACTCACCTGCCACTCTCCCAGTCTTTTTTCATCACCCCTTCTGCACATCAACTCTGTTCTCTTACAGCATCATCCCTACATCCCCCCACTCTCTCACTCCATTTCCTCTGCTGCTCTGCCCTTTTGCAGCAGATACCACTTAGTGCAATGTATCCACCTAAAAGGACTCAATTTAGCTGGATCCCTGGGCTTAAAAGCCACACAAAATTTTTGTAGCCGTTGGCAGAAGCCACTAAAGAGTGCATTGTAGTATATGTAGCAGCCCACATGAGTTACTGTGAAATGGAGAGCAGAAATTTCCTGTCTGGAAATTTTCTGATGAATCATAAAAGGAATTCAGAGAGAAGATTAAAGAACTTGAGAAATAAAGAAAAATATGCATTAACCTTTATGTCTGAAAAAAGAATGAAATTTGTTTTCAAACAAAAGAGCCTCAGCAGCCTTAATTCAGTTCTTCTGCCTTGGTTAAGAAAAATGATGCTATTAAAACATCAAAAATGATCTCTGGCTGCTACTAGACAGTTGGCTGTAATGAGGTTTTGAGAAGAATAAACAAGTTTGCTGCAGGAAAATAGTTTATGATAAACCTGAGTATGAAAATGTGTCTGGAAAAAGAACCCATTTAATAAACCAAATGCCTCTCTCTATTCTAAAGCCATATAATTCAAGAGACTTCTACATTCATATTTGTTGCAATCTGGAATTAAGATTTGGACATATATTTTCTTAATGCAGAACAAGTAGTGTTTTTTCTTGCCTTTGCTATGAAGATTTTACATTAAGGACAGAGAACTTGAAGAATTTATTCTGCAGTGTTAGAAACAACAATATGCACGTGTTTCTCTTACAATGTATTTAATCTCACTGAAAGAAAGAGGGATTGGAGAGGGACCCTTGCTCTCAATTGCCTTTAAGTGCTATAGACAGCTGCATTTCTCTCTCCGGTCGTTAAAAACATAGACTTGTCTTCTCTTTACCAAAGCAGATTGTTCCTGACATGATGTTTTCCATTTTTTAAACAGAAGCACATTAATCGTTTCCTGTTCATTTGTGGCCTTGTTTAAGACTACTGAAGCCACCAGTTGCCATGAAAAACAAACACTCAAAGACTACTTGTATGTAACCAGTGTTTTTAACACAGGTGGAATGTGGTGACAAGGACCTTCACTCTGGAACATTTGGAGGCATCATCCACGAGCCGATGATGGACCTGATAGCTCTGTTGGGTAATGCCACATGTCATTTCTCGGGAGTAACTGGGGAACACCTAGAAATCAGCCTAATAAAGGTCAGTGCCACCTTTAATTGACCTGAATAAGGCAAGTCTAATTGAAGCAAGGTTCCCAGGCTTCCAAATGTCACCATAAGCATGGTGACAGCAGCTGAGTAGGGGAACGTCCCTGGTAAGGCCAGGACCTCTGATGTGTTCCTGTTGTGCTGTTGTCAGTCATGCATCAATCAAGAACATTTAAGGATTGCTGGCAACTTGAACATATACACACGTAGCAAAACCTGACTGTTTAATGCTGATTCGTATCTTAACAAAGTGATCGTTTCATGTCAGCAGCTGGGCTGACACACGACAAAACTACATGCAAACATCAGCTCAATGGTTTTCTTAATAATTAAGAAAATACACCAAGTTAGGTTCCACAACTTGGTGGATACAAACAGTTGTTAGTAGAGTTAGGTTTACTCATTCTGTAAAGAGTTATGTTGAAGGGAAAAGGTATTGTGATTTTAAAATGGATACTTGTACTGGTATCTCCATCTTATTTTGTAGACAGCCTTGTGGATCCTACAGGTCGTATTCAGATCCCTGGTATCTACGACAGCATTGCTGACCTGACGGAGGAGGAGAGGAAATTATATGAATCAATTGAATTTGATCTAGAGGAACATAAAAAGAATAGTGGCGTGAAAAAATTCCTCTATGGAACAAAGGTAACATAAAATCTGTAAAAATTGGCAGCTGAAAGAATTTATATCACCGATTCATAGCATTTATGTATAAAACCAAACTGAAAAATATTTTCAGTCAATGGCAGGCTCAAAATAAAACAAAGGAGCACAGAACATTAAAAGGTAAATAAAATTGATCTGCTGAAAACATAAGCTACTGCGTCTGGGGAAAGTGGTCTGAAAAAGGAATCATCAATGAAAAAAAAATAATGCCAAACTGGCAGCACTGTTTCCTCATCCTCAAACTACCCCCTCTCTCCCCCTGTGCCTAACCAGTCAAACAAAATAAGCATTAAAACTCCTGCAGACAAGTTACATAGTAGGAAAGAAGTTGTATTCAGCTCTGAAAAATGTGAGGCAGCTTTAGGTATATGTGTTTTGGGTGTTTTTTATTTGTTTAATTCAGATTTGGATGTCTGCTGAGCATGCCAAAAAAGCACCCAAAGATATAAGCCTCTCTTTGCCAGCATTTAAAATTTATATCCTAAATAAAAAGCAGCGGGTAAGGGCTGGCTCAGAAAAACCTTTCTGCACAAGAGTGACAGCTGGGAGAAAGCGAGTTCATTTTTTGTCACTAACATAATTATACTGGTATAAGCTCTAACATGGATGCTTTGGTTTCCCTGAAAAAGCTTCCAAATTGGCTTAAACTCAACTGTAATAATCAGAAATAGAGAAGTATATTGTAACTACACTACATAAGTTTTGATGATTTGCCTATATGAGGATGAAGGGGTACAAATTTTGTGTACGTAAAGCTCTAGCCTCATAAAACTGGAGTAGAAGGAAAGGAGCAGTGTCTTGGGATTCTGCACAAAGACCAGCTTATAATTTATATATTTCTCATTTCTTCCTTAGAATAAACCTTATTTATTTGTTTGTTTATTTGTTTGGTGATTTATTTGTTTATTTATCTCTTCTGGTCTTCTGCAGAAAACATTGATTAGAGAATATTATCATCTTACCTACCATGCTATTTAACACTCCTTAGTAGAATTCCTTCCCTGGTGTCATCTGGGCAGGGTCTGGCTAAACTGGCCACAAATTTCTCCTGCAAGAAGTTTCAAATTCAACAGACGGTCAGATCAGAAGTTGTTCTGATTTTAATTTCCATGAGAAAAAAATACTTCCAAGATATTTTAAAACAATGCTTCTCTTCTTGAGTGTGAAAAGCTGTTCTCATCCAAATATTTCTAAAAGTAAACAAATGTTGACTGAAAAAAGTAGCATTTTTAAAATGTGCATAGATTTAAATTATAAATCAAACATATTTGAAATACAGAGGTCTCCAAATACAAATTTTAGGATGGAAGAAGCATGTTTGTTCACATTAATTTCTATCACTTGTAAATGGTTTCAGTGTCACCCTTTATATTTTCAATGTTATTTTTTTGAAGGAAGAGATACTTCTACACTTGTGGCGCTACCCTTCACTCTCTATTCATGGGATTGAAGGTGCCTTTCATGAACCAGGAATTAAAACAGTCATTCCAGCAAAAGTCATTGGCAAATTTTCAATCCGTCAGGTCCCCCACATGGACCTTTCGGTTGTGAAACAACAGGTAAGAAGCAAATCTTTACTTTGGTTTCTACGGTGTGAACTTGGCAGCTCACAGATTTACACACAAAGTAGTAAACTGAATGTTTCTAGCCTTTATTTGTTTCTGAGAGCAGAAGTGGAAATGTGTGTGTAAGCTTCAATTGCACGAAGATGAATGCAGCATGTTTCCTTCGCAGGTGGTGGAGTACTTGGAGGGTGTCTTTTCCAAGAGAAACAGTCCAAACAAACTGAAAGTGTCTATGCCTTTGGGTGTGAAACCCTGGCTTGCTGATGTTAATGATCCACTATACAAGGCAGCAAGAAGGGCAATAAGAACAGGTACGTTCCTTCCATCTTTTTTTCAGTTCTTCAGTGTGCTGAAGAAATGTGCTCATCCAAGGAGTAAAAGGGATTTCCTAATTTAGTGCTACAGTCACCCCTATGAATCTCATTGGTTCTGATATAGAACATGTCTTCTTCTACATCTTGTGGAACTGGGGTGTATTTAAGAGGAGTAGCCAAAATATCTCAGTTTCTTTGTGTGCTGACATAAAGACAGAGGTTTGTGGAGTGCAGCTGATTGACGAAATTAATTGGCTTCGCGCTCAAAAGAATTTCTACTCAGAAGCTCCAAGTAGCTATTGGCTATCTGCTTGAATATATGGTAGCAGTAGAAAGCACCTTTGTTTCATTTAATAATTCCTTCATTCTTCCCATGTATTTCAGTTTTTGGAAAAGATCCAGATTTTATTCGCGATGGTTCAACAGTTCCTGTTGCCAGAATGTTTCAGACTATAACACAGAAAAGTGTGATAATGCTTCCGATCGGAGCAGCTGACGACGGGGAGCACTCCCAGAATGAGAAAATAAGCAGGTTTCTTTTATTTGTGTCTTTCCACTATAAAAGAAAGAGGGAGAACCAAAGTTCCCTGGTACCCCTGAATAAGCACAGCCAGCTGGGAAGCTTTGCTGTGCACTGAAGAGTCCCACAGTACAGTCTCTGGCAACTTTGTTGCTGTGCCAAGCAGAAAGCAAAATTCCCAAGCTATCACATACTGCTATATGCTTTTTATGGAGTGTCTACTCAGTCTTTAAGTACATCACACTGGAAATTTTCATTTCACTGCCAATGAAATTTGCCTCTGGTCTGAAAGACGATGATGCGGATGGGCGATCTTCTGTCACAGCACCCATTTTGGAGTATGCTAGTCAGATGAATGCGTGCTAATGGCTTAGTAAGGATTTTGATGGTTGCTTGTATAAACGGATATAAAGGTGTATTTATATTACAGGTACCCGAACTAGTGTAATTGTATTGAAATTAGTTTAAACTTGCCACTTGTGCTCATTCTGGGAGGTAAAACACCATTCAGTGGGTTGCCTGAACATCTGTGCACTTCTGAGTCGAGTCAGGCTTAGCTCGGGGAAGTAGAGAATCCTACAAAAAATCTCAAATTATTTTTTGTTTCCTCTCAATGTGCCCTCAGTCCTTATGGCTACAGGCAATAGTAACTAGGGATTGTAACACTGAAAAAAGCTTTCTCAGTGAATCCTTCAGAGGAATGCCAATTGGAAAATGTCCGGAATTTCTATGGGCTGGGTCCTTCTTTTGGGTGACCAGGATTGCAAATTCCTCTGAAGTTTCTATAAACTTCACCTGACTGTGCTGCTAATTCGAAGAGCAAACAGCCCAGCAGGGTTTAATTTTTTTTTCTTTCCTTCCTTCTTCACAGATACAACTATATTGAAGGAACCAAAGTGTTCGCAGCCTTCTTCCTGGAGATATCAAAGCTACATCAGCACTTAAATGGAACTTCCAACACAGATGCTAACAACTGATAGACCATCGCAAGAAAATCAACAAAACGCTTTTTTGATCTTAAACTTTCTAACTTCCTCATCTGGACAAACATATAACTCACATATTCAGTGGGTCTGACCTGGTGAAAAAAATAAATGCCAGGCTATTAATTGGCATGCTATTAAACATCGTACATCTGTGATCTGCTCAATCAAGTGATTTTAACCCTAATACTATAAAATAGGGTTAGGGGGATTCATTCTTGCTAAGTGGAATATGTTATATGTTAGTTTTAAAATTCAAGGCAAAGGGAATTTTTATGTTTATTTTATTGAAGTAGCTTTATTTCTGTTTCGTAGTGTCACCATGTTCATGCTGCCTAACTCATATTCCGGTTTCTGAATATGAGCAATAGAGAACACTGTAGTTTTCTTATAACTCCATACAAAATTTCATGAGGTAATTGTTTGAAGAAAGATCCACTATTAAGTTAATCCTTTCCCTGTCCTTCACAGGAGGTTGTAAATAGGAAATGCAATATGATTAGCTAGCTCAATTTGGTGTGAAGGCTTGCCTATGAACATGCATTTATGGGAAGAATGACTGAGGTCAATAGAACTGCAAGAGTAACTAAGCATTTCCAGGTCTGGATTTTGCCTTTTTCTCCCCGTTTAATCCAAATAGCCTCTTATTGTGCTGTGAGCACAGTTTTAAGAAGCACTATGTGTTTCCTTCATGTGGCTTTGCAACCATAGTAAAAAGTTTCTGTAAATGTCTATTCTGGCAGAAGTTTGTCATCAGAAGGGTGTTTTTCCACCCAATTAGCAACTGTTTTTTATTTAATTTTAAAGTATCAATTTACATTGATTTTTAAACCAAAGGCAAATGATATATTTTTAAATGAAAATAATAATTCAAAGCTGTTTGTTTACTTAAAACACTTAGCACAAATCACACAATTCAAATCTACAGGTTTGTGGGGTTTTATTTCCAAATGTGATTTTTTTTTTACTATAACATAGTTAATTCACATACAACCAAACCAACTGAAACAGATTTGAGCAAATTCTTGGCAGCATTATCCCTACTCTTAAAAAAATTACGCTAACTAAATTCAGAAAGTAGTTGGTATCTTTCCTTTCTCTCCTGCTACCTCCCTGCAAAATCCTGAAAGAATAAAAGAGATTAAGGGCATAAGGTGTGAATGTGGAGCCTATAGAAGGAGGTATTGTACCACAGATAACTTGTATAAAGAGCTAATGTGGAATGCTACCAGGATAAAAGCCTTGGCTGAATCAAAAACCATAAATAAACAACCTTCTGATTTTTAGTATCTCCCCTGAAATTCCTAGGAGGTGGATGTAGAAGTAGCTGGCCTTTTAAGAGATCTGGGAACAGTAATAAACTGGGATACTTAGGTTTCAAATCAGGTGCTCAATAAACAGCCATTTTCAGGCTTGCCTGGGGCTGTGAGGCTCACAGCTCAGCTGCAGGAGCTGGGTAAGCAGGCTGGCTGCTGACGGTGATCGAGGGCAGCAAGAGGACCCAGCTCTGTCTCTTACTTATGTTGGCACTGCAGACTGCGTGACTGTGGTGTAGCTAGGAAGTTCCACCTCAACATGAGGAGAAACTTCTTTCCTGTGAGGGTGACAGAGCCCTGGCACAGGCTGCCCAGAGAGGTTGTGGAGCCTCCTTCTCTGGAGACTTTCAAAACCCGCCTGGACGTGTTCCTGTGTGGCTGCCCTAGGGGATCTGCTCTGGCAGGGAGGTTGGACTGGATAATCCCTAGAGGTCCCTTTCAACCCCGAACATTCTATGATTCTCTGCAGTCTCTCAGCTCCCTTCACCTGTAGAAACCATTTTGGAACCAGCACGGAAAGGAAGGCTGCAGGGGCAAGCACTCCAGTGTCAGCACAGGACTCGGGGCAGGTTGGTCCCTGCTTAAATGCTGTCTGTCACTGCACAGAGGTAAATGACTGAGTTTTGCTGAGGATGTACAATTGATGTAAAGCGTTATTTGCAATCTCCCGTTTTGCAGTGGCTTTACAAAGTGATTTCAAACAACATTGAAAGAAAATGGCTGCTACTTCTTGCAGAAAAGCTTGGTGAGATGGAGGAGGTGGCAGATTTTCTCGTGAAAGAGGTATGTAGGCTGTGTTTCTAGGAGTATAACTGCTCTGGAAATCACTACAATCCATGCTGTCTCTGGGTACTACAACATTAGGAAGGGCAACTGAGAGTGGGTTTATGCTACAGGTAGGTTTTTTCTGTTTCTCTCTGGAACACCAAATAAAATAGAGGCAGCAAAGACAGCATCTTCTTATAAGCACAGGCACTATCAGAGCACTGCACTGAAATAAGGTTCTGCCCTGAAATAGCCACTTACTGTCAAGTCAAAACCACGTGTGTGAAACAGTGGGACCAATGAATTATGCAGACCATCTTCATGCCTCCTTCAATCTCAGACAAGAGAAATGGCAGAAAACTTCAATTTCAGATTCTCCTGGCCATCAAAGAAAGCACTGGGGATGCAACTCCCACCCATGGGAGTGTCCAGAGCTACTCTTTCCCTCTTAGGTTAAGAGAGGACATGTACCAGTCATTCTGTCTTTTCCTTTTTTAGGCTGTGCAGCTTCTGATCAGCCTTCTGGAAAAAAAAAGTGCATTTTTCTAAGGTCTGTGCTGTTATTCACCATTTTTAGCAACGTTCCTTCTTTGCTGCATTAACAGATTTTTGTTGCCATGGTAAGTTAAAGATAGCTCTAAAATAATAGTGTTAGAAAAAGGATTCAGGTTCACTCCTATTTGTTAGCCTTATTCTAGATATGCCATATCTCATGTCAGAACATACTAGATATTTTCAAATCCTGACCAACTAGCTACAGAAATCATATGTATACTCTGTATATATATGTACACTTACAAGCTCTAATGCTGACATAGTTATTAAAAAAAAATCTTGTTCATACTGATTCAGGTTTTTCTTATGAAGGCCTGAATAATGCATTTTGGTTTTGATCAATATATGTTCAAAACTACAAATACTACAATATGTTTATTAGCACAGTTTACACAAAGTTGCAGAAAAGGGACACAGGTGACTTTCCAGTGTAAATTAGACTGGCTAAACTTTATTCTAGACTAATTTTTGTATTGTGATAAAGGTCTGTTGTTAATTGGTGTTTACCTCAGGGTACTTCTTCACAGTGAAACCTAAGTGCTGTTTGTTTCACATGTCATATTCTGTATAATTGTAGAAGAGGATGCTTTGCTGATCAAACCTACCCAAGTAGTAAGAAAACAACTTTGTGGGGATGTTCAACAGGAGCATCTAGACATTTGAGATCTAAAAAATGTGGTAGTCAGCTAAAATCATAGAGAATGAGTAAAACAGTAAGACGCTGACAATAGAAGCTGGAGACAGAGAGATCAGCAGCCTCATGAGACTAAGACCTAATCAGGTCACCATCTGCTTAGACTGTGAAAGTGGAAGATTAGGCTTACTCACGTAGTTATATTTTCCTTTTCAGTAACATTATTCCCAAGAAGCTTGACTTTTGACTCTTGCTAATTATTCCTTTCAGAATATGGCATTTAACTTGTTTGATAAAATGCTATAAAATGCTTTGCTAGTTAAGGATGTTCCATAGTCTATGTTTGCACAGGGAAGATTGTGGAACTATGCCTTTACTGCTGACACAGGACCCTGTGCCACAGTGGCTGGTGCCAGTGAGGAGCCATAGTCCCCTTCTTTCTGCTGGAAACCTCCACCTGCAAGTAGCATGTAAAATATCAATGCAGAAAAAAAGTCCTGAACATGAACATCTCATTTCATAGATCCTATTTAGTCTCCCTGGCTCATCTCAAGGCTGTGCATCGCTAGGGAGTGAGGAGTGCCTGTGTGTGCAGAACTCCCATATGGGTAAAGGTACGCAACTGCATGCCCTTGTTATCACCTGCTTCTGGAGCCTGTCTCCTCTGCTAACCAAAATGTTCACTGCCAGATATTTTGCACTAAAGGATTTTCTAAGATCCAAAAAACCTGTGTAGTTTCTCACCCCTTCTGCTTTTCACTTGCTTTCTCAAATATATCTGTTTTTAGAACATTTCTCTAGAGAGATGCTGACTGTGAAATTCGCCAGAACTGCAGACATTACCATAGTTTTGGTGCAAGTTACTCTCTTACAGGGAAAAAAGTGTGGTACTTCACCAATACTTAGTGTCCCAAGGTGAAGCTTAATTGATTTTCAAGTTTATACCTTGTATCCTAGAATCATAGAACATCTCAAGTTGGAAGGGATCCATAAGGATCAATTCCAACTCCATATATGCCTATATATGACTGTATTCTGAGCTGCAGGCATATAATGTTTTTTAAGAGGTAAATCATTATATAAATATATAGAGATATATGAATAGAAAAAATACAAAAAAGTTCCTTGTTAATGGAGTGCTTTCTTGTCTACTTAGCTCTACTGCAAAATATTTCAGTGATCTTTTCACTTGGATTCTTGGGAAATGTATAAGAACACCCTCAAGTTATGGGTAATTTTGACAAATATGTGGTAACTGCTTTTCCTGTGATACTGTTACAGTCAATTACATAAATATAGACCAGGAAATTCAACCTGACCTGCTAAGAGTGCAAGCATGGTGGAATACAATTTTGCAAGCTCTTTGCAGGTTTTTTTCCAGTTGGGGTATGATCTTGGACCGGGCGTGAATCTTCTTTCTCAAGTCTTTTGGGTATCTCCACTACTTTCTACGGAGGTAAGCAAAAAAGCCACCGAGTGCTGTAACGGGGCTTTCTAGACCTACCAGAGGATCAGCTTCTCAGCTGATTCTGCAACCCACATGGCGTTGTTTGAGGAGGAGGTTGATGGAGGAGATTCAGAGTTACGTTATCTACCCTCACAGGGTTTTAAAATTGCAAATACTATCTGAAAGCATACTTGCATTTTATTATAGAATTTCTTCCAAGTTCTTCGTGGGAAAACTGCCATGTTCCACATCAAGCCAGGAATGACAGTTGTGTTTC